CCTGGATGGGGTGGTAGAGTTTTAGATAAAGAAATTACAATTAAATCTGGATTTTTAGAAAAAATAACCCATGGAGATTGTGTACTTGCTGATAGAGGATTTACACTTGTTGAAGAATTTGCTACAAAAGGTGGGATTTTAAAATTACCAAAGTTTACCAAAGAAAAAAAGCAGATGTCTTCTGCTGAAGTTGATGAATCACATCAAATTGCACATGTAAGAATCCATGTTGAAAGGGTAATTGGATGGTTAAGAAAATTTCGAATTCTTCAGAACATTATCCCATTAACTCAAGTTGGTTTACTTGATGATGTTATGGTAACAATAACTTCATTAGTAAATATTAACAGTAGTGTTGTTCCTCCAAGCTCATAGGAGTGAAAAACCTTTTTATTTTAACTTTATTTTGTATTATCTTACATTTGGATTGTCTCAAGTACTCTCGAGTCCTTAATACAAGGGGAAGGGGGTGGTTAGTCAAGATCTAATAAAAGTAGGGGGTGAGAATTTATACTAAAAGTTTTATTATTTATTAGTTACTAGTATATATTTTGTAAATTATAAGGCCAATTTTCACTGAATTATTTTTTTAGTTTCGATAGTTTTAGAAACTTTTTGTTGATAACAAGTGAAAATTAATAAACAGAGTGGTCTTAATAAGCTTAAGGTAGGTGGGAAAGTTTTCAAAAATTTAATAGAAATCCCCCCTACCCTTCTAATAAAGACTCGAGAGTAGTAAATTTTATATTACTAAATAATAAGAATTGTTAACAGTTTATTGATTTTTTATTTCTGAAAAAAGTGCCAAAATGTCGTTGACAAAATAAGATATTTAATAAATATAATATATCCTTTAGTTTATTTATATGCATTCCTTGCAGAACCGTTTACCTTTAGGGGCATTTTTTATTTCAATACAACTGTAATGAAACCATCCTTTTTGCAGTTTTTTCCGTCGCATCCAATCATTGGTGTAAAACTTGGACGTTTGCAAATGCAGTATGTTTGATCGCTCAAAAGGTTGTTAGGATCATTTTTTCTAGACACTCTTTCAGGTAGGAAAAATTTCAAAAATATTGTTGTCAACTTTGTTTCCAGTTTTTCACAAAAGACCCTATCAATCGAAACATTAATTAACATTGTATCATTTTCATTTTTTCCTTCGGTCCAAATGTAAAAATGTCAGTAAGTAGTATTAGTAATATACATTTCTTGCTGCCCATGAAAGTAATACTGGTGTGTTTTCTTTACCGTATTGTCAAAATTTACAGGAAAATCCGTATCTGTTTTCCAATTTTCTAACCCATTTCTATACTTATATGGGCACTTAATTTCCACTACACCGGAACCATGACAATCACAACACACCATACTATCAGGTGAAGCACCAAGACATGGATTTTTGTGAAGAACATGCAATCCAGTTTCTGTAACAACTATATTTGTATGTGTTTTCGCGAAAAATTGCTTGTAAGAATTTATTGCTACAGTCTCCATTTTCTTACCATAACTCGTAGGTTTTGTAATGAATTCTGCGTTGTATTGCATCACTGTGTTTATAAACGACTTAGGGTATTTATCAACTTTTATGTTGTACGCAGTTTTTGATAACGATGCTGTTATTCTACCTGCCCTGTGCAACTTCCAGATTCTACTAGCGCTTTGAATTTTTGTAACTTTAAGTAAATTGCTGTACATGTTAACACTTTGAGTGATTTTGTACTCCTCGTATGATTCTGCGCAACATTTTGTTAAGGTGGAATCATCTAAATTAATTGATGCAGGCAAATATAGTGAAGTAAGTGGTTCCGGCAAATTATATTCATTGTAACTGTCATCCTCCTCCGCAGTATCTGTATCACTACAATGTTCTTTGCTTTCATTTTTAATGTCTACAGACTGAAGAACAGCAGCATTCTTATACAATTTTTTTAGTACTAGCAACTTTTTTTTTTTACTATCTGAAGTTGGTGTAGGATCCTTAAAGCTGTAAGGTCTTTCATCTTGTGAGTTTTCATTGTCACTAATATTTGGAAGAGTTTCACGCTTCTTTGGTCGGAAAAAGTTTATTTTTTTTAGTGGGGTTGGGGTTGCTGATTTGCGTGATTTTTTCCAACTGCACAATGTACTTGTGCAAGATATTTTATTTAAACCGAGCTGTGCACACCCAACAAGCTTAAACAACAAAGCACCGATGTGACTACACACAGAGCCCAATCTATAGTTTCAAAAATGTATAATCAATTAAATTTCTTAAAATACTTGTTTAAAGTAAAATTAGAATTAAATTATTTAATTAATGTACTTACCCTGCCATGCATTTGCAATTTGCCGTTAAAATCCACCCATTAACTTTATTTATTGCAACCCACACTTCGTAATATTTCTGCTTCTTTCCTTGTCTTTGACTTGGAAGCACCTTTAATAAATTAAAAATTGAATAAATAAGTAAAAACGTATATCATTTTACATTTTACTCAAAATAAATTTTATGGTTTTAACTTTTCAAACACTTTTTTTTTGCACTTTAACGATGAACTTTACTTTGTAATATGCAAAATTACCTCAGATTTAATGAAACAAAATTCATTCGTTTCTTCAATTAAATTATAGTATACATCTTGAACATGCCCACAAATGTAAAAGTTGTACGATTCCAATGATTTATAGGCTTTCATTGAATCGTGTGTAAAGTTACTTGGGGAGTTAATAAGGTAATTGTACATGTCACCCCATGTAATGTCGGGCATCATCGAAACGTCGTTTTTCCAATTTTCAAGTACGAAAGGGTCAGGGAGTAACATTCCATTTGACAAAGTTAATTTTTTTTATATGCATCTTTATTGTTTTCTTCTAATGTTAAAAAGTAATCAGATTCACTCCACATTTTCTTTTGCGTGTTTTCTTTCTATCCTGCCAGTGTCCTTCGCGTCCGAAAAAATGTAAACGCGCGACGTCACTTTAAAATTCATCTATAATCTCTATTTGTAATCCACACTCATGAAATAATACGGTCATAAAGAAATATCCATTTAATATTTACTTAACTAACTGCATCACAAGTTAAGTCATGTATTATTGTTAAATTGTCAAATTCAAAACCTTATAAAAAGGCAACAGATGGCCTAATTATTAGCATGTGTGACTTTACTTGTTTTTATTGGGCTAATAAATAACTTGCTAAGTCTTTACTTGTTATTTGTTATGCTAATAAAAAAAATTTTAAGTCACGCATGCGTATTTTAGTTCTCATACTGCAATTACGCACGGTCGAACTCGTAATATAGACGTTGAATTACCGTGAAATCAACGTTGATAGTTTTAAACAAATTTTTCCACGTTGATACAACGTTGATTTTGGGTTATACGACGTCGCGACTAACAATCAACTGTAAATCAACGTCGAAATAACGTTGTGTGCCCACTGGGTTGCTTTACTGATAAAAAGCTCCTTGTTTGTGAGAGAGCAAAGCATTACTATTCGCTTTTCCACACAGACTTTTAATATGATCACCAAAATTTAAATCCTTATCAACTGTAACCCCGAGAAATTTAACATTAGAAGAAGCCATGGTTTAACATTAGATTTAACATTAAAAGATAAACCATTAGATTTAACATTAGAAGAAACCATGGGGTTTACATTTCCGACCATTACAAAATTTGTCATTTCAATTTTTTAAGCCAGCTAAAAAAAATTGAAATTTGTCCGGATTTGCAACCATTTTATTCAAAGTAAATCATGAAATTGCATTTGATGTTTCTGAAGACGAGCAATAGCACTCTCTAGGTTGTTGTCACAAACAGAGAGAGTGTTGTCATCAGCATAGTTGCAGATATGAGAGTCTTTTATAAATAAGAAAAAATCGTTGATAAAAATTTTATAGAAAATTGGTCCCAAAATTGAGCATTGAGGTACACCAGATTCCATATCTAAATATTCAGAAAATGACGATCCTAATCTTACCCTCTGTTTGCGAGCTGAAACGTAAGATAAAAAGAGTTTAAGACTATCGTAAGAAAATCCATTACCTTCTAACTTGGCTATAAGCAAATCATGTGGAATTTATTCATATGCCTTTGATAAATCCATAAACATAGTGCCAACTATACCTCCTTTATCCAAGCATTCATGCCACTTATTAACTAAATTAAAATGTGTGTGCTGTGTACTCTACCCTCTCCGAAACCCACACTTCAATTTCTTTAGGCTTGGCTCTATGAAAACCCGCATTTGCTCGTAAATAACGATTTCACACACTTTTGAGAGAACTGGTAGAATACTTATTGAGTGGAAGTTACTTATTGAGTGGAAGTTACAATAGCAAAATACTTTTTAAAACATGCTGAGCAATTTATGGTTTAAAATGTTTTGAAAAATGAAATAAGTTAAATAGAATCTTTCACTGAATCTTTACTTTACCAACACGTGTTGTTATTGAGAAAATGTTTCTGGCTTTCAAGCTACTGGAAGTCAAACTACAAATTTTTTTTCTTCTTCTACGATGTTGGCATATTAGATTTTATCCTTCATTATTATTATCATTATTATTATTATTATTATTATTATTATTATTATTATTATTATTATTATTATTATCATAAATTTGCCGTTTAAAATAATTACAACTCTCGTATTTGTAAAATATATACACATGGCGGGGGCAAGAAGAAGACAAAATAGTCTTATCGCCAAGCCCCCAATAATCCTGAAATAATATAGCCATCAAATCTTGTCATTAAAAATGTTGTCAAATATAAAAACAATAAAACATATATATATATTTTTTTAAATAAAGATAATAAACTCTAAAATTCAATAATAATTGAATACTAAGCAAAAATGAAAAATAAACAAACGAAAAAATATTCAAAACTATCACAGTTTTTAATTATTGCGATTAAGAATTCCTAATTAGAAAATATAATGAAAAGAATTTAAAATTTAAAGGAAAAATATTTAGATTTTCATAATAAAAAATAAAACATAAAAAATAAGTTTTTAAAGAAGCAAATTTTTAAATCTTTGCAAACAAAATGAAAATATACTCTACAATATTTTAAAGACCAACAATTAAATATAGCTCTAGAAGAAGTCCTTCATGTTTTGATTAATTAAAATTATTTCTTTTATTTTTTAATTAATTTAATATTTTTTTTTAGATTTAAAAATATTTATGTTTGCAAGCGTTTTGATGTCATTTATAATTATTATAATCCAATGTTAGGGGCTGTGATAGAAGACTTAGTGTGATAGAAGCTCTAGCTGTGATAGAAGACTTAGTGGCAAATTGAGTTTTAGCTTGAATATAATTATTGTTTGCATGTCTAGTAAGATATTTGTGTTGTATTTTTTTAAATAGCGTTTTAAAAATATTTTATTTTTAAAACGCTATTTAAAATATAGTTTGTTTAGTTGTTTTTTTTATTGGTGCGGCATGAAGCAATGTTAGCATAATTGAGAAAACAATGGATAAAAGTAAAGCAGATATATTTTAAGCAAATTTAATTTAGGTAAGATTTTACCTTATAAAGTATGCCAATATTTTTAGAAATTTTATTTTTGATTAATTTTATGTGGTTTATCCATGTGACATTGTTGTCAAGAAGATTTCCTAGAAACTTCATTGAGTGTTCTTTTTTTATAAATTGATTCCCTATGCTATCATTTGGGAGCTTTAAAGGAATTTTGTCTATTTGATAAAGGCGATGAAAAAAAATATACTTAGTTTTGGTTAAGTTTAATGGCAATTTATTTGTATTAAACCATTCAGTTACTTTTAACAGTTCTTTGTTTACTGTTTTAAATAGGGTTTTTATATTACTATGGAAATAAAATAAACTGGTACTGTCACTAATCAAAATAGAGTCTAAAATATTCAAAGCTTTGCTTGAATCGTTAATGTATATTAAAACAAAAGCGGTCCTAAAATGGATCCTTGAGGATCTCCACAAGTAATTCTCTTTTTTTCAGTTTTACCACCATCATAAGAAACATACTGCTTTCTATTAGACAAGTAGTTTTTAAACCAAACTATATTTACATTTTTAACTCCGTAATTTATAAGTTTTTTTTAAAAAAATATAGTGGTCAACTGAGCCAAAGGCTTTGCTAAGGTCTATAAAAATACCTAATGTATACTCTTTTTTAATCAAAGGCTCGAAAAATATCATGAGCAAGTTTAAGAATAGCATGATCAGTTGAACGACCTTTTTTGAACCCAAAGTGTTTCTTGTATAAAATATTATTTGATTCTAGAAAAGAGAATAGTCTATTATACATTATTCGTTCCAAAATTTTAGAAAAGCAAAGATGAATGAAAATAGGTCTATAATTAGAGACATTAGAAGAATCACCCGATTTGAAAACCGGTATAACTCTTGCAGTTTTAAAACATTCTGGAAATATTCCTTGTTTTAAAGAAAGATTAAAAATATGCAACAGTGGTGTTATTACAACATTACTGCTTATTTCATCAACTTCTAATCCTTTGTTTAGTTTTAACGTTTGAAAAGCAATTAATAACTCATTTTTAGTCAGTTTATTGTTGGTCATTATTATATTGTTAGCTGTTAAATATGACTCTACGCTAAATTTACCAGGTTTTAGTTTTAAGGCTAAATTTAATCATACACTAACAAAAACTTGATGAAATGTTTTTGCAACTTTTTATTCATTAAGTATATCAACGCCATTGAAGTTTATTGTTTTTGGAAGACAAGTAGTTGATAACTTTTTTTTTACCAATTAAATCTTTAATGACATTTCAGGTTTTCTGATTGTCGCCTTTGAATTTTAGTAATTAATTTGAATAATATATTTTCTTTGAACAATTTATAACTAGCTCAAAAGTACCTTTATATTTTTTATACTTGTATTCATTATCAAATGTTATTTTTTTAAGAAATGTTTCGTATAATCCTTGTTTGCTTCTATCCTTGACTTTATCCTTGCTAACGTTTAATGTTACAAATTTTTGGAAATTTTGTTGTCAATAGTATTTACAAAAATATATAAAAATTAATGACATTTATGCCTACAAATTAAATTATGTTTGAATTATTTATGGTTAAATAAAGCTACTTAAGATATTTAAATTAAAAAGTATTAAAGATATCTAAAAGATTAAGACTTGGTTTTGCTACCAGTCAAAATCAAAATGGCTGGCAAAATTAATTTAATGCAAAAATAAATTATCACCTTTGTAGTCATTACAAAATCAATACTTTTCTCAAACATAGCAGTCATGCCAGAATTATTGTTGAAGGTTAATTTTTTATATTAGAGCGTTTATTTTACAAAACTCCGAAATCTAAATCGAAGCGGACAGCTCAAGCCAAATCAACATTTGTATGCATCTCACTTGCAGCAAACGTAAATACCCTAAAAAAGAAAAAAAAATATATAAAATATATATATATATGTATATATATATATATATATATATATATATATATATATATATATATATATATATATATATATATATATATATATATATATATATATAGTAATAAAAATTCCTTGAAAATCCCAAAATTATATTTAAACGTGGAATATGTATGTGGTGGGTTTAAAATATTTAATGCTATCAGACAGGTTTACTTAAAAATGTTTTTAATTTATTTTATAGATATTCAATGAATTTTAATTAAAATTAAAATTCATGTTGTCATTAATTCCATACTCGAGTTTAATTGCGACAGATAGCCGTGGCGTTGTGGTTGCGCATATGCCTCAGAAACAAATGATCCGTGGTTCAAACCCCACCTCTGGGCAAGTTTTGCGACATCGGTTAGGTTAAATGCTCTTTCGCGATGCTCTGTGATAAGACCGTAAGAACTTCTTGGGGTACCTAAATAAAAATTTAAAAGATAGAATATAATACATATTTCATGAATCTATGAGAGCAGGCAATCAAAAACAAAATTTTTATCACCTAGGGTACTGGAAATGACTTTAAATTTGTTCACTTCTTTTTGCTAAAGACATTTGTAAAGTTTAAGAATAATTAGCCAAGTCAGTATTTGTAAAGAACCAAATCAATATTTGTGAACAACCAAGTCAATATTTGGAGATTAATTTAAAAAATGAGCATGTCAGTGTAGTTAAACGTAAATATAGAAAAAAATTTGAATAACATTTTTTTACACGCCGACTTTCTCTCTCAAAATATCACAAACACATTATTTAATTGTATATATTTGTGAAATATACTTTATAAAACAAATCCTTTAATCTAAAAAACTGTTAAGCCAATAGTATAACTTATTTAGTCTGATTTAGTTTTCTACTTTGGTGTTTATATATATATATATATATATATATATATATATATATATATATATATATAAACGCTCACATATACAACAAACGGAATATAAAGCTGTAGCGTAGCAACGGGACCGTTGCTACGCTATTGCACTAAAGGTCACCAAGTCACCCCTCGGTAAAAAAAATGTATACTTTGTAATTTTGCAGAAATTTTTTAATAGTTTAATAGTTAATAGTTTAAGTAGTTGTGCATCAACAAAAGTTTGAAATTATAAAACTTTTTCAATTTCTTTTATTATTCCAATAACATAGATTAATTCTATATAATTGTAATTATAAAATATAAATACTTTTTTGTATTTTTTTTTTTTTTTTTTTTTTTAACATGTTTATTTCACAACTACAAAGTATTTACAATTGACCAATCATCGATTGGCGAATAAAGATATACAAATATAAATATCGTAAACATAAAGTCCAAAATAAATAAGGGATAAATCTAAAATATTGTTACATTCAACTTTGAGACATGATAAAAATAAATACAAAGTACACAATAGAACAACGTGAACGTAAAAATTACCCAAGAAATAAACCTTCTATATTCTTTCAATCAGAATAAAATATATATATATATAAAAGTATGATAAAAACAAGATTTGTATAAGATTGAAGAAAATAATTAATTGTTTGTAGTTATAGGAAGCTCGCAGAAGACTGGGGTCAGTCTTGTCATCGAGTACCTTCTAGACGTGTAATACACATAAAAATCAGTTGCATACGTGGCAAATATGTATGTGATACATATATGCCTTAAAATTATTAATGTTACTATCTCCTTTTAGTATTATTTTTATTGATTCCTTTGAAAAGTTACATTTTTTGTTTTATTAGGGTTGTTTTATATTATTTTTGATTTTTAAATTTTAAATTGGAGTTTAAAAAAACTCCTTGTAGTTGTTTAACTTGATTATTGTAGATTTTAACTTTGATTTTAGGGACTGTTCGTTGTTTAAATTTATTAGCGATTCGTTTCTAGAAATTATTTTGTTAAATAAATAGGGACCACGATGTTTTGTTAAAAACTTTGAGAGTTTAGTTTTTTCAAAGGGTTCAAAGTTTCCCGTTGCTCTTGTTTTATTTATTCAGACGCAGATTTTATTTTTTTTTTAAGTTAATAATAGTTTCACATAACAACTAAACATTAAAAATATTGCATCTAATTTGTATTTTAACACCATTGCGGTTAATTATGAAACAAGAAAATTTGCAGCCAAATGTTTTTTGTTTTTTATCTGAAGTAGATTTCCTTACTTTAGCAGAGGCGTAACTTCAGTTTTGAGGCCACACTCAAACTTATAAAATGACACCTTTATTACAATGCTTTAAAAAATGAATAAAAAAAAAAGTATTAACTTTTAAAAAATATTTTATTGAAAATTACAAATAAAGGTTTTACACGAAAATATTTTTGTTATAAACAATATACAGTTAAATGTGCAGTGTACAGTATACAGTTATATAGTTTTACAGTTAGTATACATTTAAACGAGATAATATTTAGTAAAATGAGCAGCTGTAGTAAAATGTTTAGCGTGCTTGCCTTAGAAGCTAGAGTTCGTGGTCTGGGCTAGTCTTATAACGCCAGCTCTGGGCAAGTCTTATAACATTGGTAAGGAACGAGGGGTGAATTTTCTTTCAAATATTCTTCCGCGGCACTCTGTGATAAGACCGTTAGGGCGTCTTGGGGCGCCTGAAATAAATAAATAAAAAAATAAAAATGTGTTGAAAACGTGTAATACAATATAATATAGTTATTATCTTAAATCAGTGTTGGATCAAGGGGCGCTAGGGGGTACAGTCCCGGGCCCCAGCAAATTTAGGGACTCCCAAACAGTTTTGAGGACCTTTTTTTTTTTTTTTAGTCATTTTTAGGCTCTGGCCCATAAAATGGCCTTCAAAAACAAAAATAGCCCCGGGCCCCAAGAAGTATTAATCCGCCACTGTCTTAAATTTATATTTTTCTGCGCAATTTTAGATCAGCATATTTTTCTTAGCTGCATCTAAATTTAGAGATTTTGCTATTAAATTTTCTATAGATAAAATTGCTAAATATTTTAGTCTTTTGGTTGCCATAGTATTTCGCAAATGATCTTTAATAAATTCAATATAAGAAAGCTTCTTTCATTGGATGCTATAGAAATCGACAAAGTTAAGTTAGTTATTAGGGCTGTAGTAATGTTGAAATAATTCCCATTTTATATTAATTTTTAGTTTTTATACATTTTTACATTTTTCAACTTTTTCGACCATTTTACTGTTTATGTGTAAATAGTTCATATTCAAATCAATTATTTTAGAATTTTTTAATACTATTAACATATTTGGTTCCAAAAAGCTAAAAAAGTGGCTGAACTCTATCGTAGATTTAAATCTTTTTACTAATTTGAGAAATAAGCAAATGGAAAATTTTTTAAATAAATGTTGTCAATAAAAATCTGTTTATTGAAAAAGTTTTATTAAGAGGTTTATTCAAAAAAATTTTACAAAATAGTGTTGTTTTCGATAGTGTTGGTTTCGATAGTATTCGTTTCGATAGTATTCGTTTTGATTTAAAATCAGTTGGCATTATTGTAATATTTGTATTACAACAAAACTGTTGTATTTTCTATTGTAATATCACTTTCATCAGTGAAAGAAAACAATGTACTCCATCTGTTTATACTTATATATTTTTTGCACTCTTGCAAGAAAAAACTGATATAAAATGAATTTGTTTTATAATGTTCTCACAAGATTCTAATTATTCTAATTATTACAATGAATATAGTTTAATTTTGTTTTTAGCTGTTTTATTTTATTTTGAACACCATCATGACATAAAATCACCATTTCTGACATAACACAAGTGTTTTCATACACGTTGTCACGCCCAATCAATTTATCGATTGAAATTTGTAAATTTCCAAATTTTCCAAAGATTGTATTAATATATTTTTAATAACTGTAGAATCTTGGGATGTTACTTCTTGAAATCTTGAAAATGATTCATTTACAATAACTGTAAATTCCATTGTCGTCATAATTAATGTCAACATATTTATATAACCCCTGGTTATGATTATTCAAATAAAACAAACAAAATATAATTTAGTCTAATTATTAAACATAAAAATCATCACCATTTCTGATCACTATCACCATCCCATTACTATTTCAATCAAGCGTTTGCGAGTATTTGTGGTCTATTGCTTTTGACTTATTGATGAATGGTAAAAATCTTACTGACTACTAAACTGTATGTTTTTTTAGGTTATCATTCACTCCCTACTTCTCATGGAAGCATATATATAACCCATTAAAAATTGAACATCTGCTAAAGTTGTCTCTCCTTATTATGCTTGCAATTTTTTTATTTTTGATTCCATTCTCTACCATTATTTATCTCAGGGCCGACGACACGGGTTTCGAAGTGGTGGGGAGGGGGGATGGCACAATTGTCAATTCTTAAAACAAGTCTTCTATATCTGGAATTTTCTGAAAAAAAAAGGACCTTTAGAAAAAAAGTGAAGAGGGGGCACGTGCCCCTCGCCCCCCGTGTTGTCGGCTTTGAATCTTATATTCAAACTTCTACGGAATCCTTGTATAATATTTGCCTGATTCTTCTGAGGTCCTTTTTTTTTTTAGACAAAAGTCTAAAAAGAAATTGTAAATGTTGTTAAACCTGTTAAACCTGTTAAACCTGCTTTAGCTGCTAAGCTTGAGCTTCTCTTCTATCAAAATTGAAAATGGAAAATAGAAATCGTATGTTATGTATACTTCAAATTCATGTATATGTATGTGTTGGAATTGTAGTTTTTATTTATATTTTAATTCTTTTTATTATCATAATTTCTTTTTTAATTTATTTTTTCATACATGTGTGCGTGAATGCATGTGTTTCACTCTTTACTTTTTTTCCTTCTTTCTTCTTATTTTTTTCTCAATTAATTTGGATTAAATAACTAGGCAAACAAATTATAAAAATTAATAAAAACTAAAAATATATATATACATTTTTAAATAATTTATTTATTCAGTAACATTAATATTATAAGGTATGGAACAGTCTAATTTTTTTTGTTTGTTTGTTTTTGGTTTATTAGTTAATCCCTATTTAATTATATTTTTAGTAAATTTTAACGATACTAAAAAATGATTTTATCTTTTGATTTTAATTTATACGGTTTTTTTTTTACACGGTTTTTATAAGCTACGTATCTTATGGTATATATAACGGGCATAGGGATAAGACAACTATAGTCTTATTTATAATCGATTATGTAAATCTTTTATCCATTTACTTTGTATTTATAAATACTCTTTAACCTCAATATATATATATATATATATATATATATATATATATATATATATATATATATATATATATATATATATATATATATATATATATATATATATATATATATATATGTATATAAAGTTAAATTAAGAAACCAAAAAAAGTCAAAAAAAAGTGCGTAATAGTTTTTTCTTATTTATTTCAGTCCGCAAATAATAATGGATTGAATCATGTTACTGCAGAGGTAGCCAGTTTTTTATTGGATACAAATTTATGCAACTAATCAACTTTTTATAAAAAAATTATTCTGGCTACCTCTATAGTAAGATATTTCAATTCATTTTTAAGGGTGTGAACTGTATAGATAACCGATTCAGATTAATCTTCTAAAACTTTTTTTTTATTTATAATTAAAAAAAACAAAAATAATATAATAAATAAACATGCTTTAATGTTCAATAAAGAAAACTACTGGTTTACATTTTTATACAGGTAAACTAGTTTACCGGGAAAGGAAGAAAAAAAAAAATCTGGTTTTTAAATATTTTGATTTTTTCTTTATCCTTAAAAATAAATATATGTCCTGTGTCACAATTATTTGATAATATTTATTGGTTTTCGGAACCTATTTCCTATTAACCTATTTCCTTTTTTAGTATTAACGCGACGCTTGGTGTGCCAACGTATGGCACACTAAGCGTCACACGGCACGTGTTTATCAAGGCCATTTTCATATTTTCATATTTTACTGATTGCTTGATTAGAGTGAAAAAATATAGATTGATGATTTCCGTTAATATTTAATATAATCATGTTTGTAAGAAATACTGTAGGTAAAAAAAAAAAAAAACGCGAAAAAAAGTATATCTAGGGAAAAGTCTGAACTTGAAGATTTTATTCTTGATGTTTCCAGTGTGGGGCCCCTTTTTTGTGGAGAAATCGGAGCTGTAGCCCCTATTGCCTTCCTCTAAATTTTGGGTCATACAGTTTTTCAAGTCTTCTGTCAACCGTTTTCAAGCTCTTTAATAATATATTTTTTGTTTTCTGGTAACTCCCAACTTATATGGTAGTTACTTGTAGCCTTATTGAGAGAAAATTAATCTAAAAAAAAGTCTATAAAATTGAAAGAACAAGAATATTAAAATTTAAAAAAATGAAAATAAAAATAAGAAAGCGTCCTTTGCCTATTAATTTATGAAAAACGCAATCTTTACTTAAAGGAAAGTTGTTTTAAATACAAAATGGATATTCTGTTTTTAATAATTAAAATTATAAAAAATCAGTTTTTCATAAGTGAGAATTAATAAATAATTTAAAAAATTCCAAAATTTTTAATCAGCTTAATATATTTTCAATATTTGCAAAAAATAATTACTAATTTTAAAAGTTAACGCCTTTAAAATTTGTTTTTAAATTGACACACTCTTTATAAGAAAGGATAAAAAATAAAACAATAAAGATTACAAGTAATAATTACTCGAAATGAGCTACGTAAATCAAAAAGCATACACACGTAAAATTACTTAAACAACTTTTGCTGAATGAAATATAAAACGAGTACAACTAAGTTTTACAATTATTGCATAAAATAGTAGTTTGAGTAATAATAAAAAAATTGATTACAACCAAGTTGTTTATCTATTTTAAATAAATAAAAATAAAAATCTTTATACTATATTTTTTAAATAAATAAATAAAATGTAGTATTTAAAAACAAAATTAAAATCTTTTAAGCCCCCGTTTTATTTTCATTGAATTTTTTTTTTTTTTATCAGACCATGTAAAATTAACCAATCAAATGCGCGTAAATATTCCATAGCGCTAAGCAGCGTAATAACAATTTCCTTTAGAAGAGGGCAGTTTTGTGGTTGTGTCTGTCTTCGGTCAAGTTGCTCATAATTTTTTGATTTAAAAATGAAAGGCAGCAAAACCCTGTTATCCTATATTTTGTTTATTATAGGGCTACAGTGGAAATCCGTAGCAGGTACAATAAGAAATTATATTGTTTGTGTTTAAATCAAAGTTATAGTTCAAATCGTTCTCATATTTCTAAGTTTGTTTGCTTAACGTTAAGTTTAGTATTTTGTGTTGATAACGGTACGTCTAGTGTTACTATTTATTGACATTATTTTTGATAGTGTTACTATTTTTGACATTATTAGTGTTACTATTTATTGACATTATTTTCGGATAGACTTTTTTTTTATGAAATAAGTTTGAAATGATATATTCTGCTTTATTTTTATAACAGCTCTGCCGGCATGTCACGATGACGAATTCAAATGTAAAAATGGAACATGTTTAAGCTTGACTTCGATGTGTGATAATGTTGATGACTGTGGTGATAATTCTGATGAAGAAAGGTGTGTTGCGGAAAGTAAGACTTATAATTGTTTAAATCCAAGTCAAGAATAAAAATTTCTTCGTTTTCTTATTTATATTTGTGACGCGTATTTCATTGAAAAAAATTTACTACTAAAAAAGCTCGTACGATTCAATGAGTCATTCGAAACTTGCCGCTGTTTAATCAAATTAACAAAAATTCAATAGAATAACTGGCCAACTTTTTATTCTTTTGTTTTAAGAAGAACAATTGAAAATAAATAAAAAAATGAACTGAATACTTCAATTGTTTTTCAGTTATTATTTGCGTTTAGGGTGTGTTTCTCAAAAGACGGCCAGTTTCTTTTATTTAAAAAAAAAAAGCCAACTGAAAAGAAATAATTCAGGCGTGGAATTTTATTTTAATTTAAATCCCAAAAGATTTTTCTAATTATCTTTTTTTGTCTATTGGCTAAAGTTTTTTGAACTATTTTTTCTTTTTTTGGTATAATTTAAATTTTACAAGAAAATCTATAAATACTGTAGGATAATAAATTATCCTCAATCTTTTATTTTCATTAAAATAATATATATATATATATATATATATATATATATATATATATATATATATATATATATATATATATATATATATATATATATATATATATATATATATATGAATTACATTTAAACTAAAAGTTTAATATTCAATAATACTTTAACAAAAAAATATATTAAATTTAAATTTATATCCAAAGTTTAATATTTTTATTATTTTATATATCTATTGTGTTTATTAAATTTTTAGAGAACAACAAAGTTTGTCCTATAGAAAATGGTTCAACTCAGTTTCGCTGTAAAAATAATCTTTGTGTTTCTGTTGCAAAAATGTGTGATGGATATGATGATTGTGGAGATTCAAGTGATGAATCACCAACTGGGGGTGCTAAATGTGTCTCTATTAAGTGTCGCAACTCAGATGACTTTCGCTGTGAAACAAATCCAGTTTGCATCTCTAGGTATTATCGCTGTGATGGAACATTTGAATGTGAAGACCATTCTGATGAAGCTAATTGTGAGTCTGTAAAGTGCAGTGTTGATGAGTTTCAGTGCTTAAATAAAATGCGATGTATTTCAAACAGCTTGCGATGTGACTTCAGATATGATTGTGATGATAAGAGCGATGAAGTTAAATGCAATCTTCATAATACAACTTGTCCTAATGGGTCGTTTTCATGTAAAGGTAGCAACCATTGTCTTGACAATTCATTAAAATGTAATGGTGTTAAAAATTGCCCAGATAATTCAGATGAGTTAAATTGTCCTAAATGTAAGTTTTATAATTTTTTTCGTTATGTTTTTTTTTACACATTGAATACTTTACGAAATCTAGCAAAATGGATGTTTATAATATTTTTTTTTTTTAAGCTACAGAAAAGTGTGCTAATGATGAGTTTAAATGTTTATCAAACGGAAAATGTATTAAAAAAGCTTATCGATGTGACACAGTTGATGATTGTTCAGATGGTTCTGATGAAATGGATTGTTTAAATAGTAGGTTTGCTTATTGTTGTTGTTTTTTGAGAATCCTGTGTTGAAATTTTTTTAAAGAAGTTTAGATTCTTTTAAAGAAGTTTTAGAAACTTATTTTTTGCAAGTTATTAGTTGTTATAGTTTTAATCATTATTTTGAAAAATTATCTTTGAAAGGCGATCATAGATGCGAGACAGATCAGTTTCGTTGTAGCACTGGTCATTGCATTCACAAATATTTGCAATGTGATGGCGAAAGTGATTGTATTGACAGTTCAGATGAGTTAAATTGTCATGTTGAAAAATGTAAGACCCTTTCTTTATAATAATTTGTCTTATTAGATAAGTGTGAAAAAGATCAATTCCGTTGTGATAATGGTCAGTGTGTTTCTAATGTATTTGCTGGAGAATGGAAAGCTCAATGTCATGATAAATTGAAGTTTAAGCAAAGAAAGCGGAGAGATGCTATAAAACGTAAATTTTCCAATAGGCAATTACATTATGTAAAAAGATACAACAAAAAAATGGATGTTAAAATATAATTAAATATAGAACATGTGACAAAAATTTTATATATTTTATTTTAGCTCAACCTAAAGTGGGATCATTGGTTATGAGTACAGGAAACTTAACAACTAGTGAAACAAATATGCAAAATGATTCATGTGTACTGTTTTGCCCTACCAACAAAGAATGCTTATCAAGAGCTTTTTTATGTGACAACGAAAATGACTGTCCTGATGGCTATGATGAATTAAGCTCAACCTGTGAAAGTATTTCCTGTAATAAAGATGAATTTAAATGTGCTAATGGTAAATGCGAGAAAAAAAAACAAGTTTGTGATGGTATTGATGATTGTGGTGATAATTCAGATGAGGCTGATGAATTATGTAGTCGTAAGTAGTTTTTATATTGTTTTTATTTTATATTTTGAAAGAATTAATACTTTAATGGGTCAAGGCTAAAGGAATTTTAGTTATTTTATTCTCTGGTGTATTACATTTTCCTTGATTCTTACCATCTTTTAGTTATCTATTTTAACCTAAACTTATATGTTTTAATCTATTTGTTTAAGCTTTTTTATGAGTCTTTTCTGGGGTTTTTCAAATCAATAAATGGCATATAATTTAATAAAATATTTTATGTTGTGATTTACTAAGTTTTTACTAGTTTTTGAATAACTGATGAAAGAAACTTGAAAATTTCTTAACAAAAATGTAATCAATTAGATTGGGTAATAAAATACTATTAAATATTAGCTGTAAAAGTCAATGTTATTTAGAAGTAAAAAAAAGTCTTACTTAGTATCTTATTAACCAAAAATAAACTACTTATGTTAATAATATTAAACCACTTATATATTATGGTGTATTAATAATAAATTGAATATTAAACCACTTATATATTATAAGTTATAATGAGTAAAATAAATTATTACAAAATCGTGTTCACTTTATTATTAAGTGATTAAAAATGATTTTCTAGCTACTGCAGCACCAGTGTCATGTAATAATGACTCATACCAATGCAAGAATGAATCAAAGTGTATTCCAATGACTTCAGTCTGTAATAGTATTAATGATTGCGCTAATGGTGACGATGAAGATAATTTATGTGGTAATTTTTTTATACTATAAGCATTCAAAATCATTCTTTTGTGTGATAAAACAAATTTTAAGAAATGCATGAATAATTTTATTAAGTTTTGATATTGTTGTTGTTAAATTTAAGTATTGTTACTTGTATTAATATTATTATGGTTATTGTTATTGAAGCTGATATTTATATTGTTATTAAAGATGTAAAAGAATGTGATAATGAAAATGGTGGGTGTTCTTATAAATGTAAAGAACTCAAACTTGGCTATGAATGTCTGTGTCCTCAAGGTTTTCAACTTGATTCTGATAAAAAAAGTTGTATTGATATTGATGAATGTAAAGAAGGCTGGAATGTTTCAAAATGTAGTCAAATATGTACTAACTTGAATGGAACTTACAAATGTAGTTGTCATAACGGCTTTAACCTAGTTAACAAAAAATGTCGAGCTAATGGCAAGTAATTTTTTTAAAAATATATATGTGTTGATTGTATTTCTTATTATAAGTATTTGAAAATTGTATTGATTAATATAATTATTGAAAAAAAAATTATTTAGGTTCTGTTGTGGACCTTATATTTGCTAATGAGCTAGATGTAAGAATCCTTCAAAGCAATAGCCAACATTATCGAAAATTTGCTGATGCATACAATGCAAATGCTGTTGCAGTTGATGTTCTTACTGAAATGATTTATTGGTCGGATATTGTGAAAGGGACTATATCTTGTGCTTCAAGGTCAAATTTTAATCCTAAAGTTATTATTAGTGGTCTTAAAAAGCCAAGAAGTTTGGCTGTTGATTGGATTGGTCGTAAATTGTATTGGATTGATACAGGTGTTGATATGTAATTATTTCATTATATTGAATTTTTCTGGGTAAAATTAAATTTATGAAGTTATTCCTTGTTTTTCTCAAAATTCTAGTAAAATATATAATTTTAAAATATGTAGTTTATTATAATTTTAGTAAAAATAAAATTTAAATTTTAGTAAATAAAATTAATATCTTATGTGATTCTATGCATTTATTATTGGTTGCTCAATTTTTATTAAAATTAAAAAAAAGTTATTAAAACCATTTTTTTTTTTAAACTTTAATTTAGTTTATATTTTGAGTTACAATATAGAATCTATACATAAATTATTTTTAAGACCTTTTTAGGTATAAATTGCATAATTATAAATTTAATTATTTTTTCAGCTTTCAATAACATTAGTGTTTCAAACTTGGATGGGAGCTTTCCTAAAACAATTGTGGAAGGAAATGGTTTTGAAGAATTTTCTGGTTTGGCAATTCATCCATTTGAAGGGTGAATTTATAAAGTATTATATAAATTTAGCATATTATTTACATTTTATATTTAAAATTGTTATATTTAAAATTGTTTAATTTTAGTTATCTGTTTTGGACTGATGTTGCTACAAATGGTAAAGTAGTGCGTTCAAATCTTCTTGGGACATCTCAAACAACTTTAGCGAGTGATCTTGGAATGCCGATGGGTATTACTGTTGATATAGAATCCAATAAGGTTTATTGGTCTGATATGCATTTGCATCACATTTGCTCTGTGAGTCTTGATGGGTCTGCTTTTAACCGCATTCTTAAAAATATAGAATCCCCTTTAAGTATTGCAGTGTTTGAGGATGAAGTTTACTGGACAAGTAAAGTTGGAAAAAAAATTTATCGTGCAAACAAATTCGATGGTACTGAAAAATCAGAATATAATGCATCATTTTTATCTCCTATGGATGTTGTTGTTTATCATTCTTCAGCTCAATTTTATTGTAAGTAATTGTTTTATAACTAATTTTTGTGAAAATAACAACTATCTATTTTAAATGTTTAAACTTTTTTCAGCGCCTCATCCCTGTAATATCAATAATGGTAATTGTTCTCATCTATGCTTGGTACAGAACTTAACTAATGGTATTTGTGCCTGTCCTGATGGTATGAATATTGATATTAACATGAAAAGTTGTGTAAGTGTTGTAAAAACTCAAGTAGATAAAGACATTTTTCAAAATAAATCAGACCCGATATCTGTTTGTAACGGTTATCAGTGTCATTCTTCAAGTAAGTGCATAGAAAAACTATTTGTGTGTGATGGAGTAACACATTGTCCTGAACATGATGATGAAACATCGTGCAAATCAGATTATTCTAATGTTTCAGAGATTAATAACGAAGTCACTACTGCTACTTCTGGCAATAATAAATCATTTATTATTGGGGCTGCTCTTGGTTCTATATTTTTGCTGCTTGTATTTTTTGTTGTCTTTATCTATCTTCTTCGGAAAAAAAGAAGTCGGTTTGATTTAAGGTAATATTTTAAATCCTAAATAGCTAAGTTGTGTTTAATTAGTAAGTAAATAAATAAGTAAAGCTGTGGGTCTAATTCATTAGTTGTTAATTTAATTAATAAACTATTGTTTTACATCACTCATCGAGTATATTTTATTTTGTTACATGTTGTAAGGCTGTAAGAAAGGGTGAGGGCTACACGTAAATATCTCTCTTTAAACTTTTAATTTTTTTTTATAGCATGGTATATGAAACTGAAAGTGATATTGTATACGGAAAAGATGGTTATGACAACAACTTACAATTAGTCATAGGTAATCAAATAAAAGAAACAAAACAAAGTTGGAGTTCTAAGCAAAAAACTATTGAGGTCGCAGCCTACGACGAGGCTAAGACCCCGCTTACTGATAAAAATAAAGATGAAAATTGTTTTGAGGATAGTTCATCAGGAGAAGTCTGTTTTGATGATGATCGTCAACCTATCATAGCAAACATAGTTTAGCAATTAATTATAGAATAGTTAGATTTTTTAAATTACTAAACATTCATACCCAAACTTTAAAATAAATAGATTATAATATTACATTGGCGATGTCTTAAAATATTTCTGTTCTTTGTATTTTGATCTATACAAGATGCTCCCATTAATTTTTGTTTTGAAGTGATTTTAAAAAAATATTTTTTACTAAATTATTTTTTGTTAAAAAAATTTTTTTTAGCCGCCTAATGTGTTAAGGGGTTGAGCTGGGTGTCAGAGATAAAATAATACTTCGATTTGCATATAATAATATCTCGAGGATTAAAATATTCTTTTTGATTTTCTTTGCATTTTCTTTTTGATTTTTCCTGCATAACTTTAACCTTCAGTTATTAGTTGACTATCGATCTCGTTGTTGTTCTTTGTTATCTTTAAAAAGATAAATATTTTTTCTACATAATTTTAGCTTTTATTTTTATGTGGTTGAAAATATTTTCTGTCTTATTTAAATGCGTTTGTTTCGTCAAGTTTTTTCGGTGTTATTTATTTTGTAAATAATCTTGTAAATAAGAGATAATTATGAATTTAATTTTCTGTTAGAGTATTAGATATACTAGTATATTAAGTTTCTAATATTGTTACTGGTAGTATTAGGCTTTCTAATACTTAGTATCTCGCGAATTATATTTAAAGATTAAGGTTAAGCTTGCAATGGACCGTTCCCTCTATAGAAAAAAACCGTAATGCATTTTGATCTTCGTATTTATCATAAAAATAAACAAATAAAACCATAAAAATAAACAAAGTATTTCAAAAGCAGTCAAGTATTTTAATTCAAAAAGAGCTTTCAAAATGAATTTAAATGATAAAATAAGCTGTTATAAGCTAGTAACTCATTTCATTCAATAAAGTATTACTTTTGAGACAAACAGCACAAAGTATCGTGGTTATCAAAGTAATTTTCTGCGATACAGTTCGTTCAAAAAAATGTACCATTTTACCTTATGCCAAAGGAAAATAATTCAAGAGAAATGATTATCTTTAATTAGTAAGGAAAACTGTGTTCCTTTTACTACTCATCGGGTTTGTTCAGTCCATTTTACATGAGGAAAAAAGACCATCTTTACTGCCAAAACTAGTTAATATATAAATAAAAATCTAAAATAGCCATGAACCACAGTATATAGTTCAATTGGATATGAAAGGAAAATAGACGAAAATGAAAACGAAAATATGATATTTTTTATATTTAATAAGAAATATCTATTATCTGTTGTTTCATCTATTACTGACACCATAGAAATAAAAAATATATAAAAATATCCTTTTATATATATAAAAATTTTTTTCTTTTTCTTTTTTTCTCTGTTAACCTAACATAAGAATTTTACAGATTCTACTACATAATATAAAATTTTAAAAAAATATGTAAAACAGATAGGGACTGAAAGAAGATGAGGATGACAGAACGTCATCGCAATCTTTTCATAGAACCCTTTTAACAAGATTTAATTAAAATATCGTAATATGACATAAAAAATAAAAATGTCAATAAAATATCATAACAAAATGCGTAATCCGCTAATAAAAATTGTCAAGCAACAAACAAAAGTAGAAACAAACAAAAACTTATTTAAGAGAATTTATTTGAAGCATTAACAAAAAATGTTTCACCGGTTTTAAAGATTTCTTTTTTTGTTCAAAACTTGAATGAACTTAACGAACTCACCGTACCTTTGAACCCTTTCTGAAAAATATTCCATACTTTTGGACCTCTATATAAAATGCTGTATTCTGAATATTTATTTATTATCCTTGGCAGTTTATATGTGTTCAACATATTCGCTCTAAGATTTTAGTTATCATTTTTATTTAACTCAAACTTATTATAAAAGCATATAGGAGAGATATTGTAATTGTAACGATACATGAAAATTAAATGCTGGTAGATATTTATTTCAAATACATTCATCAAGGGATTAGCGTGTTCCCGCCTATTTTTAAAGTAAATGTATCTACAGGCATGTTTCTGAAAACTATAAAGTTTCTATAACTATAAAGCTTTGTTGTTTGAGTACTTGCCTATGAAATGTTTGCATAGCTTATGAGGCTGTGAATTAGCCCAAAATAGATTAATTTAAGACTATTTGTATTAATGTACGAGCGAACTCGATACATTAAACCTATGATTTTGGTAATTTTTGACTGGATATATAGTATATGAGGAAGCCAGGATAATTTTTCATCAACAACGATTCCCAAGAATCTTATATTGGATTGCTTTTTAATTAATTTATCATTTATAAATAGGTTCAGCAACTTGAGAGGAAGATTTTCTTCTTGTGTTTTTTTATGAAAAAGTATATAGTTTGTTTTCTCGGTATTAAGTGAGAGTTTGTTAGCCTTAAACCAGTTATTTACTTTATTTAGTTCAATATTCATGTCCGCATATAATTTCTTGATATCGTTGTTGGTAAGAAATAAATTCGTGTCATCTGCAAACATGACTGAATTAAGTTTTAAGGATGCATTACAGAAGTCATTTATATATATTAAAAAAAGAAGTGGACCAAGAATCGATCCTTGCGGAACTCCACAAATTTGCGGAACTCCACGACATTTAACACTCCAGATTGGGCATTATTTACATATTGTTTTCTGTTTGTAAGATAGCTTTTAATCCAATAATAAGTTTTATTATCTATTCCGTAATGTCTTAATTTATTTAAGAGAATACAGTAGTCCACTGTATCAAATACTTTTGATAAATCAAGAAATACTCCTAAAGTAAATTTATTATTTTCAAAACCATTGGTTATTTGATTTACTATTTCAATGATTGCATGCTCAGTAGAGAGATTTTTTTGAAAACCAAACTGATTTGGGTAAAAAAAATTGTTTTTAATGAAGTAATCATAGATTCTATTATAAACTACATGTTAGAATAGCTTTGAAAATACAGAAAGTACTGATATAGGCCTGTAGTTTGTAATGTCAGAATGATCATTACATTTGTACAATGGAGTTACTTTTGCTAATTTAAGTACATCCGGAAATATCCCAGAATTTAACGAAAGCTTTAGTATATGTATTAGAGGTTTTTTAAGACTGTGTTTGTTTGCAATAACTATATTACTAGATATCTCATCAAATCCCGGAGCCTTTTTTTTTTTAACGAGGAAAAAGCTCCCTCAAATTCCTCATAGGTTAATTCATAATCAAGCATGATAACATTATTCGTTGGTTTAAGGAAGGTTTTAAATGATACAGATGTTGGTACTATTTTTTTTACAAGATTTGGACCAATACTTGTAAAATATTTATTGAATTCTTCCAAAATTTGTTTTTGACTAAATATATCGTTGTTTTCAATAACAATTCGTTTAGGTAGAGAAAATGAATTTAGTTTTTCTCTTCCCATTATGACATTGATGATGGACCATGTTTTTTTGCAATCAAATTTGCATTTGTTAATTTGATTACTGTAATTTTTTTTTTTTTTTTGCATTTTTAATGAGATCTTGGTAAAAATATTTCATTATTATTGTTTTTATTTTTCAGAAATTTATTTTAAAATTTTGTCTTTTTTTTTGAGCACTTTAATAACGACTTATCCATCCACGGATTAGCAATTGCTTTTGACTTAATTCTTATATTCTCTTGAGGACAGGTTTCATTAAAGTACTCCAAAAATGTACTTAAAAAAGCATTATAAGCTCCATTCGTATCTTGACATTTATATAAGTTGTTCCATGTTTCTTGTTTTAGTTACTCATTTTTAAATTTCGTTTTTTCAAATGTATGATTTTTGAATGACAATCAGTCATAGCTTTTAGATTTTTTGTTTTTATGAATACCGCTAATATCTGTCATAAATATACCGGTTTCAAATGTCGTTTCTAAATAGTTATTAATAAAAATATCGTCTATTGCTGTTGCCGAGGTTTTTGTTACTCGCGTTGGTTTATTAATAGTTGACAAAACATTCAATTTAAAAAGCGTATCAAAAAAAGATTTTATTTTTAGAAATTTTGTGTTAGAAAGAGCATCAAGATTTATGTCACCAGTAAAATATAATGTTTTATTTACTTTATTTATTTTTATAATCGTATTTTTGATAAAAGTTTCGAAAGTTTTTATTTTTCCACTCGGTGGACGATAAACACATCCAACTAAAACGTTTCAGTATTTTTTATTAATAATTTCAATGAAAAAACTTTCATAATTATTATTAGAAAAGCATAGTATGTTTTTTATCTTGAAAGCATACTTTTCCAAGACAAAAATTCCTAATCCTCCTCCTTTTTTCCCACCACCTCGCGGTTGACTAATTAGTATGTAAAATGGTAAAAAATAATTAGAATTTAATTCAAGAGTACTTTCTGTTTCATGCTAAGTCTCTGAAAGAGATATGACGTCGAACGTGTAATTTAAAATATTTAAAAATTCTTTAAGTTTATCAAAATTTTGCTGCATGCTTCTAATGTTTATGTGTAATACAGAAAATGAACAATCATCTATTTTTACTTTAAAATCAAAGGAATCAATATACGGTGTGTTAATTAAGTTGATTTGAGTTTCTTGAAAAATATTGTTTTTTCTTCAGATAGATTATTCATAAAGTTGTCCTCAAAAAGATCTAAATTTAAATTATGAAAATCTAATTTCTCTGAAAAAAGCGACACCATTTTTTAGTTTTTTTTTTCAAATTAACTAATTTAAATATATTCAATATAATAAAAAAAAAAATAGTCAAAATGCTTACTCGTTAACGCATGTAGGATTAACATCTGTGTTGCGGGTATTTTCTCGAAATTCGTGAACAATATGTTTGTTGTAAACAACTTTCGCAAAATAGCCATTTTGACAATGAATCTTCGCCTGATCAAAAAGTTCTTTTCGAATTTTTCGAGTTGTAAAACTAAAATCTTCGTTTAAAAAAATATTGGTTCCTTTTAATTTAACTGCTCTCTCCATAATTGTTTTTTTATCCTCGTAATCACGGAGTTTTAAGACGATTGTTCGCTCTCGTTTATCATTAGTTGCTCCCACTCGATGAGCCCGTTCAATTACAATGTCTTTTTCAATACCAAGGTTATCTTTAAATAGTTGTTTTACCCTTTTTTTTGTGATTTCCCAATCTTTTTCTTCACTATTTTCAACGATCTCGTCAATTCTTAAATTATTTCTTTGTTACGGTCTTCAATATCGACGCTTTTTAATTTTAATTCAATATTGTCCGAAGATATTTTACCCTGCATTTTTCTTACATTTGATAAATCGTCATGAACTTTATTTATTTTTTCCTCGACTGCTCTAGCTTTATCATTGAAAACATC